ACTAGGTTAGTAGGTAATTAAGAAGTTAAATCGGGACAGGTATTTGGACTAATAAGCCTATTAGTAGCTTAACTACTTTATAGTTGTAAAGTACTGCAGGTTCTTATAGTTGCTAAAAACCTAAATTAGGAATACTGCGCCTTCTAGTTTAGGCCGCCACTGTTTAAAGCATTAGATAATTGCTAGAAGTTCCTTATTATAGATTTTATAGTTATATTTAGCAGGACTTAATTATTTTAAGAAGTAGGCTACAGGTCGGAGTATTCCTTATTTATCTATTTACGAGAGCACTCCAGCATTTATATAGTTAGATAAATCGGCCTTAATAATAATCGGCAGTTTAGGGTTAAAATAACAGAGGATTAGGGCGGTAGTAAATACTGTCTTAAGTTGTTTAAATACCGCACAGCAGGACTTATTAAACCGGAACAGAACATCCTTTTTTATAAGTATAATTAGGGGAGCGGCCAGGCCAGAGAAATTATTAATAAATTATTAGTAGAAGTTTATAAATCTAATAAAGGCTTATATATCCTTAATATTATAGGGGACTTCCTAGTTATAGATATTCTTAATCTTGTTTAGGTCTATACTAATTCCGCCGGTTAATATTATATACCCTAGGTAGGTAACCTTATTCTAATAGAATTTGCACTTATTAATATCTAGTTATAGGCCGGCGGCTTCTATTACTTCTAGGACTAGCTTTATATAACGCTGGTGGTCTTCGAAGTTTTTGCTATATATTAGAATATTATTAATATATATAGTATAGAATACGTCTAGGTATAGGCGGAGCATATTATTTATATAGTATTAGAACGTGCTAAAAGTGTTAGCTAATCTAAATAGCATTACCAGGTATTTAAACAGGCTGTATCGCGTCCGGAAAGCAGTTAGCTATTTATCTCCTTTCGCGATTTATAAGCAATTAAATACGGAGATAATATTAAGCTTTATATAGTATTTTACCTTACTTAATTATACTAGGGTCTTCTAAATTAAGGGGATTAGGTATTAGTTTTTAATAGTTATAGCATTTAGCGCGCAGTAGTTAACACAGAATTATAGGCCTCCTCCGGGCTTTTTAATAAAGATAACCGGAGAGGCGATAGGTAATAAACTAGCACGGATAAATCCTTTTGCAAGGTTATTATTAAGGTACTTCTTTAGCACCTTTAATTTATTTTATAATATTCCGTATAATAGGCTAAATCTATATAGTTTGCTATTTTTAAGCATAATCTTATAATTATATATTTAGTATTTAGGTAACTTATTAGCTTCCTATTAGGAGAAAGTCTTTAGTAAATAGTAATATTATGCTAGGACTTTTATAGCTAAGTTAGTTTAGGTTTTCGGAGCTAAGGCTTTAATAATATTAGTAACAGTAATAGCAAAGATTTTATAATTAGGTTATTAGGCTAATTAGGTTATAGACGCCGCGTTTAGTATATAGATATCCGTCCGGGTATTAGGTTTAAATTTAGAATTAGATTTAGTTTTAGGTTCGGTTTCTAGCTTAGGTTTAGGGTTAGGTATATTTATCTAGTATACTATTTTAGGAAGCTAGTAATTATATTAGTATTATATAGACAGGCTTAATTGCTATAAGTAAAAGCGTTAGGTTAGAGGTGTCGGGTACTACTTAATAAGGGGCGCTTTAGGAAGCTGTTCTATATAAGTTTTTATTGCAAAGGTTTAGAAATTGCGCAGGTATTACGCCTAGTATTAGGATAATTAAAACAATAGTTGTTAGTTATTATAGTTAAATCTAACACAGTGCTTATATAGCTAGGGCTATTCTAGTAGTAGCTTATATTTACCGAGTTCTAGTATATAGAGACGGATCTGTTTTATATAGTTTAGGTGGTAAAAGGTTACTTGCGTAGAGTGCGTAATCTATTCTTCTTTAAGCGTTTTTCTATTAAATCTAGTTAGGCGTAAAACGTAAGAAAGCAGGTTAAGGCGGAGGTTCTATACGCGCGCCAGATTCCTGTAAATATAACCTATACCTATAGCTCTACTATTAATTAGAGCTACAGCGTTTATATAGGTAGGGCCTTATTATATAGAAATAGGGATAAGAATCTATTATTTCTAGGAGTTAGGTTTAGGTTCTTTAAATAGGTTTATAGAAATCCGGGGTTAGAATAGTCCTAGGGGGCAACTTAGCCCTAGAATAGAGCTTTTAATAACTTTTTTATATAGAACAAGCGGCTACCTCTAGATTAATTAGAGCTAGAAAATAAAGTAGTAGATATAGAAAAACGGCGGGCAGATAAAAATTAGGTGGAATTAGTTAATTGCGCGTATATATACAGTTAGGGGCTTAAAGGCTTATCTATACTAGATAATCGGACTTAAGGTAAAAAAATAGAGTAATTGCAGGAGATATAGCTATGCTTTCCGCATTTAAAGCAGAGGCCCTTTTAATAATATTTATCTTATTCGGCTAAGCCGGCTGGAGTATATTTAGATATATTAATTTCTATTATATCTAGGTTTTTTTATAATAGAGGGGAATATTAAGAGGGTTAGCCGGGCAGGAATTATAGATTATTATTATACTTCGCGATTAAGTTAGTATAGTTATTTAGATTATTTAGGGTAGTAGCACTAACTATTATATAGCAGAGTTTATTAGAGAAGAAGTATTAGAGCTAAGTTATTAGGCCAGCTTTATTTAGATCTATATTAGCGGCAAGTTATTAAAATTTAGTAAAGTATAATATAAAGGCACACCTTCCTTACTTTAGTATATAGAGTTAATTTAAAAATATAAGTTTCTAGTTTAGATTGTTGTATATAGCCTGCAGGAATTAAATAAGTTAATTAATAGTATAGATATCTTAGTCTATTAAGAGGTTAATAAGTGTTAATAGGTTAGATTCTAATTAAAAGTAAGCGTATAGCAGGCGAGTATATTTAGTTAGGTATTAATTAGTATTTCCTTCTAGTTTATACTATAGTTATCGGATAAAAATTAGAAGTTCCTTTTAACTTCCCTTAAATATTAAAAAGTTAATTAGATGTTTAGTTTTTAGGGTTAGCAGGGCGGCGGCTATTAGGGAAAAGTCTATTAAAGTTAGCGGAGTAACTTTAATAGTTGGGGTCTATATATAGTTTATATTATTAGCAGGTATTAAGCTATTATTTAATTTATAAATAGGAGGCCCTGTAAATTATTAGTTAGGCGCTAGTAGTAGAGTAGAAGTAGATTTAAACCGAATTACGGCTACTTCCTCCTGCAGAGCAGCAATTTCCTATTTCTAGGCGGACAGGACTTCTATTACAGCAGCCTGCTATTCCTTTATAGAGCTAATAAGCTTTAGAAGTATTATAGTTAGGTTAGCAGGGGTATCTATAGTAGTAAAAGTAGATATAATATAATATTACAATAGCGCTACACGCGAGAGGTCGAGGGCTTAAAAAGGAGCGTTGATTAGGTGCTATATACAATACTACGTGGAGAATTAAAACGTTGTGTAAGGAACAGGAAGACGGGAGACGGGCCACCGGATATAAGGGCGTGGCCGAGCGCGTGGCGTACGGCCTCTATGCCGTTTCGGCGCGTGGCACGCGTGTACGCGAGGTCCTTACCAGATTAGGTAATAGGAAAAGGGGGCAGCCGGTAGGTGGCTGGAGCGGGACAGGATAGGAAGCGGAAGCGAGATGGGAGCGGAGCAGGGTAGGCAGGGCAGGAGGCCGGCTAACGGTAGTAGGCCGGTGCAGATTGCTAGAGTTGTAGCAATCTGCGGCAGAATTTCGGTAGGTAGGGTGTCGCGGTTAATACCGTAACAATAATATAAAAAAGCCGTCCTAAGTTATATACCTTTCTACTAAACACCCTCTTTATTTTTTAAAAATATCTAATAAAAAATCCTTTTTTATCTATATTATAGGTGTTCTAAGGTAGAATACTATACTTTATTAGCTTTCTGCCTAGTTGTTACGGTGATAATATATCGGGCATTTAAACGCGAGATAGATAAGTATTAGATTTAAAGAAGGATAACTATATACTATTACTATAGTTAGTTATAAAACGTTAAAATGCCGAGTTAAATTAGGGACGGGAGCCAGGCTATATATAAGACGAGAAAAGGGGCTCGCATATAGCGCGTGGCCCTAACAGAATCGGGAATTAAGTGGCAGGCGCGTGGCGCATGCATGCGCACGTATACAGGAATAAGGTATTAGGGGATTAATGCTTAGAGGGAGGCTATAATTAATACTATAACACTAGTATTTTAAAATATATACTATAATACAGCGCCAAATTAGCCCTTTTCCTTACTTTATTAATAGGGTTAAGGTATGCTAATTTAAGGTGTTTTTTATTGCGTTTAACCTATTAAGAAACCTAATTTCCACCAGGCCTTCTGCCAGCAATTTTTTGAGCTATATTACGTACTATAGCTTATATTAGAGGAAGCCTACGCTCTAAGAGGTTATTTATATACTCGATAAGAGCCTGAGTCTGCCCTGGCTTAAGCAGTTGTTGAGAATTGTAGCTATTCTCTTTGGAAGTAGTCTTTCCCCGGTGGTGTCACGGTATTGATCATGGCCTCCCTCTAAGCATCAATCCCCTGACACCTTGTTCCCGCATACGTGCGCACGCGTGCGCCACGCGCCTGCCACCTGATTCCCGATTCTGTTAGGGCCACGCGCTATATGCGAGCCCCTTTTCTCGTCTTGTATATAGCCTGGCTCCCGTCCCTAATTCAACTCGGCATCTTGACGTCTTGTAACCAACCACGGTAATAGCACGTAGTTATCCTTCTTTGAATCTGATACTTGTCTATCTCGCGTTCAAATGCCCGATACATCGTCACCGTGACAGGTGGCGCTTAGAAAGGGTGCTTCTGTCAACACCATGCTCAGTAGCGACATCTTGGATCTTCCTGTCGGGGTTGAGACGAAGCGCTGCGAGTGCAGCTTCAATTCCAGCCATTATTTAGCCAATTTGGTGGAAATTTGATGAGGTTGTGGGTTTTTGAAGATGGCGGTGTGGGAAGAGGAGACCGTGCACGAGGTGTCAGCGTGCACGAGCCGTCGAAGACTTCTACAGGTTACAGGGTTCTTGGTATGTACGATCCATGCATCAACAGCAGGTATTTCGGCATGCGGCACAATAAGTCTGCGGGTATCTGTGCTTACACATACCCTTGGCATCCTTCGTGTATCCGCCAAGACACAAAAATGGGGAAAGGGACCTTCGCAGCGATATAAACGTATGTGCCAAGTTATAAGGGAAGTTACAGAGGGCTCTAGAGGGTCACTAGACTATGGAAAGAGTTCGGAAATAACTACACTACGCATGCGTGAGCCATCATCTTTTTAATGGAACACAAAGCATCGACCAATATTGCTACTTTTTCTGACCAAGATTTTTGCGATTCGGAGTCACAAGAATTTTGATGTGGTCGTCTTTGTTCTTAACCAGCTCAACAAAACCTTTTTCTAAAACATCATCGAGATGAATACGGCTGGTAACCATCTTTTCAACACCCTTGAAATTTCCTAGAAATTCATTAGTCATGTTAGCTCAGTATCTTAGATTCATCGACGTACCATCCACAAAAGCCTCAACCGTCTCCTTGAAATCGCGATCATCATATGCTAGAGATCCCGTTACTGAAATTTCCTTCAACATCAAGTCTAGTTGCGGAACTACTATCTAGAAATGTTCAGCATCAATTATTTCAATACCGCTAAAGAAAACTCACAGGCTTCTCCCATCCCGCAACATTCACATAAACCCCCTGGTGTCTTAAAGCTCCCATCCCATCATTCATCCCCGCCTGAATGCCTGCGCAATCGAATACATACCCGACGCCTTCTCCACCAGTTTTCTCAATACATCTCTCTGCAACCTTCTCTTTTATCGGATTGAACACCGCATCCGCGAGCTCTGCGTTTTGCTCCGCGCGCTTGGCCGTTGGCTCAGACACGAAGACTTGCTTAGTTCCCTTCGCGCGGAGGACCAACAGTACCGCGATTCCCACCGGTCCGCCGCCTAAAATCAGCGCAGACTCGCTGCTGAAGTCTTCTCTACCAGAAGCGCGCACCGCATGCCACGCTACTGCCAGCGGCTCGATCAAGGCTGCTAGATCTAGGGACGAATCTGGGATGGCGTAGCACATGCTCGCATCTACGACAATGGACTCGGAAAATCCCCCGCCGTTGCCTGAGAGCCCGTGGAAGCCCCAGCTGTAGCAAGTGTTAGTGGCCTGGGAGGCGCACCGACTGCATGAGCTGCAGTAGAGGCGCGGGTCGACCATAACGGCTTGGCCAGGCTTCAAAGTGGAGTCTGAGGGAGCAGAGACGATGCGGCCGCAGAACTCGTGGCCCATGGTTATGGGAAGGACCTCTTTGGTGAGTGGGTGGGGCTTCACGCTGGGAATTGCCATAGGACCTGTGAAGATGCAAGTGAGCGCTTGAACAGTGTGACGGCCGATGCCACTTTCCTACCTATAATATATTCATGGAGGTCGCTACCACATATTCCACACCATTCGATATCGATTAGGACTTCATTGTCTTTGGGCTCCGGTTTGGGGACCTCCGTGACGCGGATGTCTTCCTTTGCGTAAAATTGTCCCGCTTTCATGATTGAGCCTGATCTCGAGAATAACGCTGAAGGAAGGTTAGAATAGCATCTCAAATAACTAAGTATGCAGAGTTAACGGGATGAACACACGCGCTACCCGAAATGGTGTAAAGCGGGGAAACTTGCGAGATCGTGTGTCGCAGCGAATGACTCGGGGTAACGAACTCCTCACGAGGCCGATAAATACAGTCATACTTATCACACGGAAAACCCAGAATTCAGAGCCTTCCATATAACACGTCTCTTTGGTGCAATTTGAGAAATGCAACGGTCTACACCTAACATTTCTCGCACGACCTATTTCTGATCTCGAGTGTAGATAGATTTACATCGCGATGTTGCGTTTGATAATCCTGTCAAGAGAGCTACCTATAGTAGGTTGTTTAAATAAAAGAGAAACTCGCATGCTCACCGGTTGGCGTCTCTTTAGGATAAATTCCTAGTGGCGGAGTAATTAACGTGGCATTGGAGTCGACCTTGGCAACGTAGTAGAAAGTGCGGGTGCGACTTAATTCACGGTACCTTGGTGCCTGCCATTGTTTCTCGCTGATATCTTGTCTTTTTTCGTATCCGGGTCTCCTGTTGCAGGTCTTTGGTCTTCGGACTGTGCTTGCAACGAAAAATAGCCGTCATCTGTTACCATGTCTATCTAAGTCCGTGGCTCTAGCGATCTGGTCTTCGTAGAGATTATGTCTTTCTTTCTGAGCTTAATTTCAGTAAGTCACAGTCGGCTTAAGCTGGTGCATCGCACGGCAATGAGCTGTCCAGCACGTCCTGCCTAGCAAGGGCACCACAACCAAATCTGGATGCATCCAAGAAGCCGTCCATGTACTTCATAGATGCCTTCCGTAGCCTGAGTGATGTAGGCAACACCGCAGTACCCGGTGTAAAGGACAATGATTCGAGGCAGGCTGCAGAATAGATTGGCGCCTGTTAATGGGATAGTGCGTTGCTTATCGTTCTATTTGATGACTGAGTGAACACTGGGAGGCCAGCACCCGGTACCGGCATTGCCCTCGAAGAGACATATCAGAAGAGGCATACGGCGTCACGTTCACTCGCTCTCGTTGTGCGAGTTGCTTGATGAAGGGTAGTAGTTTAGAGATGACAGTTGAGAAATGAAGGGGTCAGATCCGGGCATTTAGAGTGCTCCATAGTTTTAGGTGCCCGACCTGCTTTTATATGCCCACACTTTGGCGAGGGCAACTATAAATACATTTCAAAAGCACTAGAAGTAACGTCCGCACTTAGTTGAAGGAAGACCATGCATTTAAAAGGTGAAGAGTTTCGCTGTGTCTACAATTTCGTCATGGAGGTATCTCGAAATATCGAACTTTGTGCTTTCAAATAGCACTCGTCTACTGCGCGAACCCCAGCATGGATGTGATGGTAGCCAGATCTGCCGTGCATGCTGCTAGAGGCAAAAAACGTTAGCATCGTGAAAATTACTCGAAGTAGTATAGTGGTATCTCGAATGTGTCTCGAATGTATGCGTCCGTCTTCGGTTCTACTGCTCTTACTCCATCCAACTCATCTCAACCCTTTTTCCTATCTAATCGCCCTTCATTCCTATTCCATTCAACAGTTTCCCATCATCATGCGACCATGCGCAGTCCGAAGCAAAGGCTGTACCGAGTGTCGGCAACGCCGTGTGAAGGTTCGACACTCGTTCCCATGTCAACCTACTAATCTAAGCTACGTATAGTGCGATGAGACTCCAGGGAAGTGCAAGCAGTGTACCCGGCTAGGGCTACATTGCTCAGGGGCAATCCAAGGCTCCATGATCATCGATATGACCGAAAGAGTAAAGAACAAGAAGCCACGAAAGCGGAAGCAGAGGGTTTTGCAGCCGCCAGTCGAGACGCACCAGACAGATATCGGAGCCCAGGTCTCGATAAAAGCCGATGAAATAAGCCGGCGTGAGGCACCCCGTGGCCTGGCTATCAGACCGAGCCCTATTGAAGCTAGTCCGGGTGTTATCAGCCCAACCCCAGAGGCGACAGGTTGCGTGCTTGATGTAAACCCTACTATTATTGGCTGTCGCCAGCATTTTAGGCTAGCCTTCCCGTATCAACCCTCTCTAGTCGAAATATACGACCAGGCGTTCATCTACCAATTTGTGGAGCTCCACAAAGGATGGAAAGCTCCCAAAAAGTACGACGGAGACATGCCTTGGGTTACCCGGCTGCCAGAGCTATCTTCCTCGTCGGCTAAGCCGGTCATAAAGTACTCAATCAGAGCAGCGTCTATGGCCTTCTATGGCCAGGCTCATCAAGATGTGTCCGTTATGACGGATTCCTACAGATGGTATAGCACGGGATTAGCTCTCCAACGCGGCTGTATATCTGATCTTGAAGAGAGCCATATCCCCGGAATCGAGGAAGTGATAGTTCCGATGGTTATGTCTTTGTACGAAGTAGTTGCAAGCACTACTCAAACCAGCGTTTTCCACCACCTCGATGCCGCATCAAATGTCCTAAATATGAGAGGCCCAACGAACTGCACCACTGGGCTTCCGCACCAGCTCTTAAAAGTCATGAGAGTCACGAGCGTAAGTTATGCCTCTCAGATCACAATGCGTCATTGCACATCTCATAACCTCTGACCCCACCAGGCCAACGTATCCCTAATGACCAACAGCCCCTCCCTGTTCTCCAGTCGCCCCTGGCTCACCCTCCCCTTCTCTGCCAACCCCAAACAACCCCTCCAACTCCTCACCGACATCATACTCTCCATCCCCCACTGTCTCTCCCTCTCCGGTCGTCGATGTTCCCTCGTCCAGTTCTTCGACGCACCCCCCTCAAACCAAACCATCCGCGCCTCCATCTTCTCCCGCGCCACGGACCTCCAAACGGCCCTCCTCGCCTGGCACCAAACCCACTCCGAGCCCACCTTCCGCGACACGCTCACTGCCCTCACAGCCTGCACCTATCACGCTGCCAGCCTCGTCGTGCAGCTCATTCTTTCCGCAACCTCCCCTTTTCCCTCTGCCTCCCCCTCCTCTTCCCTCACAGCCTCACACTCTCATTCTCGCTCTGTAGCCTCGCACGCAACGTCAATCCTCCAAATCTCGCGATTTCTGGAGTACCTTCGGCCTGTCGGCTTTGATCTCATGCGGAGCATTTTTGCGCTTGCAGTGGTGGCGCTCCTAAGCCCTAGCGAGGGGCAGAAGGGGGAGGCGACGAAGATGTTGGAGCGGTGGGGACAGGATAGGGGGTTGAGTGGGATTTGTAGTGCGTGGAAAATTGTATGAGTAGCAATATACTCTCTTCTTGACAGCGTTTTCCACTTTCCCGCCCTTCCGGGAACCTCTTTGGGTGACGACCTTCGCACGCGGTTCTAGTCCAAGACGCGTCCAGCAACAGGTGGCGTGCTGCTATCCTTCGTCCTAACCTTTCTAAACTCTTTGCCTGATACTATCTTGTCCATCAGATCACCTGAATCCAAGGTCTTTTTCCTTGGTGGCGGAGGCATGCCGGGTGGTGGTGGCACCGCTCTCTGTCTCAAGAGATCCTCTAGCTCCTTAATCCGAATATCTCTCTTCTCGAGTAGGGACGCCAAGCCTATGTTCCCGTGCACGTTGCTCATCGCCATCTGATCCAAAGCTTGCGATAATTGGGATACCTCGATAGCCTCATCTTGAGCTGTTTTGGCTTCTTCTTGTGCTTTCAACAATTGCTCTTTCGTTTCCTGGAGCTTCGTGCTGATGACATGCCATTCATCGATGATTTCTTGCGCTTCCGTTTGAGAAATGGCTAGCTTCTCTCGCGTCTGCTCGAAAGAGCGCTGTACTTCGAGAGATTTTGCTGCAACCGTCGGCTCTGCTCTGTCAAGTGTTCTTTCTCCTTCTCCGCGGCGATAAGAGCGTTTTTGGCTTCTTGGATCTCTTTCGCCGAAACCTCGAGTTTGCGCTTAGAGTGCTGTGATTTGCGTTGCGCATCTTCGAGGTCTTGTTGTAGATGCTTACGCTCCAGATCCAATTTCTCGTTGGCTTTGTTGACGGTGGCAAGTTCATCGCTCAGTGCCTTTGCCTCTGCTTCACCTTTTCGGAGATCTTCTGCGCTCCTTCTTTCCGTATCAGCGATCTTTTGTTCCAGAGTATCTATTGCTTGCTTTGCTTCTTCTTCAAGATGCCTCATTTTTGAATGGTACGTCTTTTCGAGCTGTCTTTGGTGGGAGCTATGTTTCTTTTCTGATTCGTCCAAACGGGTTCCCATTTCCTGAATCTTTCGCTCATATTGGACCATATGCTGACTATCCATATCTTGTTGCTTTTCCACTTAAGTCATTTGTGTTTGCCATTTATGTTCCCATTCCCGATCTTTTGCGATAAGCTGATCGGTCATCTCCGACACTTTGCGACGCTCAATTCGATATTTTTCTTCCCACTTCAATCTATTTCCTAGAGCAGCGTCGAATTCATCTAACAGAACCCTCACCATATCCACCGGGTTCTCAAAGTTGCGTATCGCCTCATTGAATGAGTGGAGTCCACTCTGATGCAAGCGTAATCCTTTCTCTCGGATTATCTTTTGAATATCCTGCAGAAGCTCTGCGTCATATTCAGGCTTCTTGTACTTCAATTTCCAACCGACGTCTTTATCCTCCGGCCTTCCCCGGAAAGAAGAGTAGGACATGGTTGCGCGCAAAATGTCCTCAGATCCAGGCTTAGGAGAGTCTTAAAGAAGCGTCGGCGGTAGCCCTCTTTCCTTGGATGTCAGGCTTTCTGTCGATACCGAATTTCCAAGAGCGAAACTGTGCTAGACTCGCGTTCCGGTCAGAACTAGAGTACGAAGACGAGGCTGAACGTCCAATTTGCGCCGACGTCGAACATCAGGTATTGGCACGTCGTTTGAAAAATCTTCTCGTCGGTGTCCTCGTGCTTTTTAGATTTCGTTTCGACGCCTCTCCCTCGGCCCAAGATCTATTCTACGCCAAAATCGACGGATTGATATGTCGTTCTTCCTTCGCCCGGACCTTTGATAATTTCCTAGTCTACTCAAGCCTAATGGTACTTGTAGGCCCTTCTTCTAGGTCGGAATCTTATCGCAACGGTGGTGGTCTCGCAAGGCTGAAGGATGCTATTAGTTTTTCTTCCGCAACGTTCGCGTGGCCTTGCAATCTTAGGCCTTAGGAAGTACTCCGAACACACAATTCACGGCAGAAGTCAAGTAGGAGTGTCGCAAATACTCAAGCGCAACTATGAGTGTTTGGGAGCCTGGGGGTGGAGGTGTCACGTCCGGAGCCTGTACTGAGGCTGGGCTGCATTGGCGTCTGGGCGTGGCGTCGTACACGTGAATATCAAAGAGCAATGAGTAAACACGTTCTCCAGGTTCAGACCATCACAACATTACTTTCAGTATCACGAACTTTCAAAACCAGAGGGCGAGCTAAGGTATCATCATCCTATGAATTTAGTTCAATTCGCTGACTAATCGCACGTGACCCCTTTACTCTCTTCATCCCTCCTTTCCATCGTCCCATCTAAGCATACTTCCTGTCCTTAAACCCCCCAATCAACGTCACCGTCCCATCCCCGGCCTCCGCCCACCTCTTCGCCGCAATCTCCGGATTCAACTGCAGCGTCTGCTTACTCTTCACCCAATCCTCCATCTTCACCGGCTCCTCGAACCTCGACTTGACCCCCGCCGCCTTCAGCACCGGCGAATCCAGAATCGGCTCGAGAATCGTATCGTTGTGCGGGCGCGCGAAATACAGCAGCCCCGTGCGGTCGTACTGCCACTGGTCCTCGGGCGGCGCGACAACGCGGTGCACTGAGCTCTTCAGCCAGCCGCCCGTGATGTGTGAGATGGTGTCGGCGAGGTTGACGGTGATGGTGCCGGGCTGCGCCGAGACGTATGTCCACTTGCCGTCCTCGCCCAGGATCTGGAGGCCGGCGATGGGCTGGCGGAAGAGCAGCGTCACGGTCCCGAGGTCGGTGTGGCCGGTCGAGTGGCCGAAGCCGCTGGCGGCGTGCTCTTCGGGCGTGCGCTTGTGGTAGATCATGTAGCGGTAGTGGTCCTCGCTCTTCTTCTCGTAGGTGTGCTGGCGCACGAGGTAGTCCTCGTCTGGGAGTTGTAGCACGATGGCGAAGAGGCGGAGGAGGGGGAGGACGATGTTGGAGTGGAGGGCTTTGGAGAACGTCTCGATCTCGGGGAGATGGGCGTTGAGGAGGTCTGGCCGCGTGTATTTGCCTTCGAAGTCTTTGGTGAACTTCGGAATGTTGAATATCTCGACGGCATCACGTGTAGCGCCGTTCGGGGCGCGACCTGCGCGACGCCAGCCGTTGTAGTCGGCGTTGGCGTAGTCCACTTCATGTTTAGCCTTCTCCTCGATGGGGAGAGTAAAGAAGTTCTTGGCGAGGGTGAACTGGTTGTCGACTTGTTCTTGGGTGAGGCCGTAGTTCTTCACGTAGAAGAAGCCGACGTGGTGTACGGCGTGCTCGAGTTGCTTGGCAAGTCTTTCCTTGCCTCCTGGACGGTCAAAGTCTTCAAGGTCTAGCGTAACGAGTTCTGCCCATGGGAGCTCTGCTTTTGTCTCGGGTGGATGAACGTATTTGGGGAGGTTCTCATAATCATATTGATGCGGGTCCGCGGGCTTTTGCGAGACGGCCGGTCGTGCAGTTTGAGTGATTGTTGCAGACATGTTTATTCTGTTGTACTGAGATGGTTGAGGTAAAATATTGATCGCTTTTGGTTGACGTCTTATATAGTACAGGTACTCACATGACTTTTTGGGATGGTTCCATTATCAGTATCTCAACCTCGATTCGTCATTCCATCCCCGCATGTTATCATCGACTTCCCCTCATTTGCTTACCAAAAGGTTCGAACACCAGCGTTTCGGATTGCCGCATTATCCGTTATCATCAGAAACTAACATAAGTTCCGTTTTAGATCCACTGGTATTGAATGTAATTGGGAAGAACTTCACTGGGGTTGTACTATTCGACCAATAGGCGTCCAGGCTACAACGTCGCCACGATTGTGCATCAATTGCAACATCAACCTATCCAAATACCGTTAATAAAAAGCATTCTGGCTTACAAATGTTACCCGTACCATAGATTCGGGTATGAAATTAAATGTCTGGTGTCTCCAGTCGTGGGGTTCGGAAGCTCTCGCATCGACTTCTCCAAAAAGGAAATCTACAGGCCACCAGCAAAAGAAAGCCTTTGTATGCAGAACTTCAAGCCTAGTAGACGCATACCGCAACCGCATGTAACACCCAAAACAGAGTTCGGGCGGCGACTCAAGTAGTCGACGGAAGCAACCACCGCTATTCCAGATATGTAATTTAGCTCTGGATGTCTAGTATTGTACAGTACCTGTCGACATCAGCTTTCAATAGCCTCCTCTGGCGAGAACCAACTGCGATACCTTTTTCTTTCCTTTACAAGCAGAGCCAAGACCACAACAAGGCCAAGTATCACACGACCCATCCACCTTCCCGTACGTCACGACTCAGTTCCTATATGCCTCGTTCGTTCCGCAGATAGGATACGAATAGTACCCCGGTGTCCGCAACCCCGCCGTGAACGGGTACAGACCTTTTGTGCCTGCGCCGTCAGTGAAGTATGAAGTCGCGTCCGTGCTCACGGTATAGCCATTCTTGTTGCCATTGAGCTGGTAGCCCATGTAAGAGGATATAGCAATATCTTCCTTGGTAAGCTTCCCCCATATTGTGCCATTGAGTTGCTCAATCCCCTTCAGCGCCTGGAACGGCGCATCCTGTAGAAAGTATGAAGACGAACCTCAAAGTCTTGATACTTTCTATCTACTGATCAGCTCTGCCTTATATCGGCTGAGTGGTTTGCTATCTAACATGAAGAACAAAGATAGCATACAAACTATCATAGAAAAATGATGGGGTTTCTAGAAACAAACACATCCTCGCAACTAGTCGCGGTGCCATAGGTACAGTCGTGTATATCGAACATCCACAGCGTCACGCCCGTCTCTAGGTACTATACCTACGCCACCTTTGCAACAGCGTCGTCGATAATGCCCTCATGCCTGTCGTAGTCCTGGCGGGGGTTCCAGTCCTAGGGAACGAGGCCCTGTTGCACGACGACCATAGGATGCACCTCCGACTCTATTTCCCAGGCGGCCTGGATTCATTTCGAGTAGATTAGAGACTCCATCGGGTCCTGGAAACTATATACGGAGTCACCGCTGTTGGCGAGCCATTGCCCACCTTTCAGCACGGATACCATGGCGACATTGTTATCTTGATCGCCGCCGAAGAGGTACTTCAGTGTGCTGTTGAGATTCATCTGGATGTAGTCGGTGAGTTTGTCGAGAAGTTTGTCGAGCGCCTCGATGTTTGCTACGTCGCCTTCTAAGATGGTGGGTTGTTAGTGACGCGGATGGGGATGAATACCAGGACGGCGTCTTACCCTGTGGTTTCTGTAGTAGACATACTTTCTGCGGTCTGGATCAGAGTGTCCACCCCTGTATGGATTGTTTCTGCCTTCTTCCCGTCCTCTGCGAGCTCTTTCCACATTTTCGGGTCTTCAATAACCTAGCAAAGGGTCTGTTAGTCCGCAATCGATGCAAGCGGAAGCGAGTGCAATACCTTTGACCACAGCTCGGAGCTAGCCACGCCGATGCAAATGCCTAGGTAGCTCATCACCTGCTGTAACTTTGCAAACACGTCGTCCTCTTTCTTTGCCGGTGCGAAACCCTGTTGAAACTGTGGTTCCGTCAGCTTTGGATACCGAATGGGTTGCGGGGAGCTACTCACATCGCCCACTGTGAGCGATAGGCTCAAACTGACATGAGTAAGCACATCATACTGCTTATTAAAATACTCTGTTATGTTAGAGAAAAGTCTGTGAACTGACTCGATACTTCACTAACATTGTGCAGGTTAGGTTCGACCAAGCGGCCAAAACATGCTTGCACAGCCGGAGCCGTAAGGTCTCCACATTTGAGACCAGGACTATTGCTATAAATGAGGCAAAACGTGTCAGCAATGGTCTCAAGATCTAATTAAAAGAAAGGAGACACGAACCACTGGCCGTCGTCAACCAGCGCACAATCGCCCATCTGCTGTGGGGCATTGGTCCCTCCGAATTTCCAGATAACAGCGGCAGCCCTGTTGCCTCTCAAAAGGCCAAGCTCCGGGTTGTTGTGTCTGTAATCTTGGTAATACCAATCGGATGCCTGTAGCCAGAAATCGTCCGCATACGAGGCCTTCCACCGATCAAATGGATCCTTCGTAGGATCGTTCACTGTCGCATCGTTGCAGGTCACGCATGCCCACTCTATTTGGTCGCCTGCGAGAGTCAGTGGCCTAGACACAATCCTGCCATAGTAATCGTACCTGAACAATCGGGCTCATAAACCTCGAAGAACTCTCCAGGTGATGTTACACTTTGTGAGCCCGCTTGATGGCAAGCACTATTGGTAGCACCACCAACAGTGAGCCCGACCATTTGAGCTGCACAGGAATTAGCCATTGTCTGGAGCGAAATGGAACATTACTGACGATTGTAGTTGTAGAAGCCTTCTGGACAGTTCCCGCTAACACAATACGTTCCTGTACCTCCGACAATGACTTTGCTACTTCCATCAATGACTTCCAAAGTCTGCCCTCCAGTGGAAATTGGGAACGACCCGTAATTGAGGCCAGGTTTCAAGTTTTGAGTAGTACCCGAATTATATCGGACCTTCAGTCCCGTGGAGCTGCTGGGTACGCTAATAGCGTAGTTTACCTGATCCGCGCCTGACGAGTACCCGGCAATCTTAGTATCGTAGAATCCGTAATTCTCATTGGGGCAGTAAGAGGTGGACAGAGTCTGCTTGTACTAGAATGCTTAGAGAGGTGCGGAGTCAGTTGCTGGGTACAAGGTAGAAGCCGAGCCTTTTTTTCGTATGTCTTGATAAACGCGGAAAGGAGAGGCTGCAGACCGTTATGCGGTGACTTTAGTTGAGTTGCATACTTTCTAGGTTGGTCGTCCTGCCGTCTTGTCAATTACCGTTCCACTATTGTAGGATGCTTCAATCTCACATCGGATTGTTCGTCCCATATCGAGCCTATATAGTGGCCTTCGGGGCCGTCATTCTTTCGTGCTGAATCAGCATAATTTGCATCAAGCAGAAAAACAAGCCAATAGGCGTACCCATGTCTGGATCTGAACAAAGTCGGGCACATGTGGCATACTAATGATGTTCGCCATGCGTTTTGGGAGGTTAAGCTCGCCCGCGTGATAGAGGTTGGTGTTGTACTGGGAAGTTCAGCTTTGGGCTTGCCACACGAGATGATCAACTATACCGCGTTTTTGTACTGGAGCAAGCTCAACCCTTGGTGGACGTCAGACTTAAAAGGACACAGAGAGAATATTGCTAGACGTACCTATCATGTACGTTTTGCCATGTCCGACTGTGCCATTTGGGTACTTCGAAGATCCTCCCATGACCTGGTTGTCGATACTCACGTCAGCTTGATTCGTTGCTCCTTCCACCGGCCAAGCAGACTCCCATCCAAATACGCCATCGATTGGTGGACCCCAATACGCCCACCAGCCGGGGTCAGAAGTGTAGTAACCTGCCGTCTTCTCGCCAATGTTCGGAATGAAGTAGACTTGTCCGCCGAATTCAACATTTTTCCAGTGAAGCCAATCAGTTTCGTTGACGGCGCCGTCGCTGAAAGTGCTGACCATCGGTTTCCCGTTCGATCCCTTGTAGTAGCAATAGGATCCTAAGTAGCCAGCCAATAGATTGTGATAGTCTGGAAGCCATTTGTTGGATGCTCCTGAGGCCTATCTGCGCGAGCCATCGTAATCAGCTTTTATTCAATACTGTCCGCATATGGCGTAACTTACAGGTCCATGCTAATATAAAGCTTGAATACACGGTAACAAGCATAAACGAACAGATCACTAAAACTTTTTGCGACAAAATCTCGAGTTGGATCTCCGCTATTGCCACATCAGCACCTTGATCAGAACAAGCATTGTTTGAAGCTGACACGTTCAGCGCAAAATCATCTAAGTGGTAGCTGGCGTAGGAAGGGAGAATCAGTGAGGGAGACATGAGTTGTATTGAGGTTCCAGCGAGTGGCTATATAGTTGGAAGACGGTAGGAGTG